AGCCTAGGCCTATTTGTAAATTGTAATCTAAACAATAAATCAAAGTTGAAGAATTATTGCATTGAGAGAAATTTTTGTACAACGTATGCCTAATCATTCATAATCAAGAAGCTAGGCCTTGTAAGTAAAATAGCAGCATTCTCCAAACTTTGTTTGTAATATTAGTGAGTTATAATATTATCATTATTACTGTATTATTATTATTATTATTATTTATTAATCAATTAATCAATCATCTATAATATTACTGCTAACTTCTACCCTATCGCGTTGGTGACAACATGGCCGGTGTATGTCACGTGATTGAAACCGAGTTGGCCAAACTCTCTCTATCTACGGCTCTGTTGTTGACGCTCCATCCAACGAGCGGCGCTGATTGAGGCAGGCTTTGTATCTACCTTGAATTCAAAAACTATTATATTGGCACAAAACAACAGTAAGCACTGTGCTGATATTGTCCCGTAATCAGTACTGTATTACATTAAAATAGAAATCAAAAGCCCTTGCATACATTAATGTGGTACAAGGATTAACGTTGAATTTTACAAGTACACTAAAGAAAGCTGATTTCTTTAATGCCGTGTTTATTTTAATTACCGGTATCTGATCTGTATCAGCAAAATCTATTTACACCGATTCTTATGGACAAGACGAAATATTCGTTTCTTAAATAAAATATCTTGTGTTCCTCTGTCATTTTGCATATACAGTTACGTTACTTACTTGTTAGCCTTTTCAATCCACTGCTGGATGTAGGCCTCCTCATCATCCATGTCGCTACACATAGAGAACATATCCATACAATGATTGTGTTCCAAATATGTTATTAAAACTGTATCATCATTCCTCCATTTTGTCTATACACATACAGTACATAGACGGTTGCTACTTTAAAAGTCGTAATTTCGTTCACCACCATCTGTCACCACCAGGCCTAGGCAGATTTTTTAATCCGGGTGCTGAGAAAATCTATGTTTTTTTTTTTTTTTTTTTTTTTTTTTTTTATTCGGCTCCATGGCTGCTTTCCTTGTTTCTACTAGAAGGCGAAATGCAAAACTGCACACGCGAATCATCGCCACTAACAGGCTGGTAAAATATATAAAATTTAAATATATCAAATATATAGACGAAAGAGTACAAAGTTCTCACCTATTCAAATGATTAATAATAATAGAACGAAATATAGACAAACTATTGTGAAAAATGTCAATATTAGAGGTTAAAATAAGAGAATTATATTGAAGAGAAAGTCTAGAAATTAAACTATGTTTACAGACATCAACTCTACAAAAGGGGACATTAAAGGTAGGACAGGAACGAAGACTTCTAGAATTAACATTCTACAAAGGTACTATTACGTTGCACAAAGTTCGGATCGTGCAGCTGCATCGTACTTATATATTTACATATCGTGTCAAGGGCATAACATCATTGGTACTGTGAGGGACTGAGATGTCATGACTTTCCACACTTACTACCTAATGCAGATGCATGCAGAGATTTTAATATTACCAGTTTAATTTGATACAAAAGATTACGTCAAATTTTCAATTCATTTCATTCATTTTGGTCCAAAATGTGTAAAACTAAACAAAATCATAATAAAAAAGCTAAATAAAATTAGAAATTTAATATGAAGAGGGAGAAAAAATAGTTGTTCGGACAAAATAGGAAATTCGTAAAATGTTCGCAAAACTGGATCCTTTTTCTCTTGAAATAGCATTCGCTGGAAGTTTGAGGACCCTCCTGTAGTTTCGATGATATATAATCGGAGATGTGAATTTTGTGCGTGTAATTTTGTTTTGAATTCTTGTCATTGCGCATGCGCAATAGTGGGTCGAGTTGTGAACTTCCAACAACCTAACAATGGATCAATAAAATACTAGCCTAGCCTGGCTTAGCCTTTAAAGCACGGAGATTTTCCATCTACTTTACCTGCAAGCAACTATCTGTTATGTCATTTTATTAATATGAATTGCAAGATTAAGTATGTTATCGAAGTTTATCGGAATATAATGCTAGTAGTAGCAGTTAGTAAATAAAAAATAGCCTAGGCCTACTACTAGGCTAGCCTAGTACTGTAGTACTAACTAGTAGTAGAAGTAGGCCTAGGAGGAGGTGTCTGTCAGTGATGTGCTGGCGGCCGAAGTAGGTTAGGTAGAGGGGCCAGGCCTAGGGCATAGAGCGTGGTTGAGGCCTATTCTAGTCTAGGCGTTTGGATCCTGACCATTCGGAACTGCAGTCTGTAAATGTAGGGCCTGCGCAAAAAGACCTAGAAAGCTTTTTTAACCTAGATCCTAGCTAGGCTAGTAGGGGGTGGGGGCCACTAGTACTACTACTACTACTACATACTACTACTAGACTAGGCCTGTAAGCCTAGTAGTAGTAGTAGTAGCCTAGTAGTAGTAGCAGCCTAGAAGTAGTAGTAGCCCACTAGGAATTAGTAGTAGTACCACTACCTAAGTGGCATAGAGAAAGAAAATATTCTTTGTCTATTATACTCTAGGCAAATATTCAGCATACAATTGTATTAGGCCCCATAAAAAAAATGATTAGTTTATCATCCCCGCGCGCACCTCTTTTGACGAAATCGCGATTTTTTTTTTTTTTTTTTTTTTTTACTAGATTTTTTTCATTGAAAAAACGATCGTTTGTTCGTCAAAAACAAATTTTAAGGCTGGTGAATGATGATTTTCGATCTTTTTTGTTGACTGCAGTGATGTACATCTGTCTCTTATACACATCTAGATGTGTATAAGAGACAGCAAAGAAAGAGAGATATGACGTTCGTTGACGACGAACGGCGAACAAATCTCGAAGTTTCGCGCGCAGCTTTGCTCTCTCTATAATATCATATTTAATAAAAGTACATGTGTTCTTGTTAATCCGACTTCACTTTATTCTTGGCTTTTGTGTTTTTAAACCAATCACACTGGCGAACAGCGATGGGACACTTCACCCCCCCCCCCAAAAAAAATAAATAAATAAAAAACCTCCCTCCCTCATCAGTTTTTTGGTCTTGATAGGATGATAAACTAATAATTTTTTTTATGGGGCCTAATAGGCCTATGTTTAATTTAGCTATACAGTCCAAAGTAGGGAAATTTATTGGTTATTAAGGTGCAACACATTGGAATTCACTCTTCCTTGATGTTTTGGAAGTTCTGCAAATCAGCTCAAGGAAATATATAACACAATGCTTTCAAACATTTCCTTGAAGGGTATTGATTGCTGATTTTAGCCCTATTCAAGGAACTTAAATTTAAGATCAAAATTCATCATTTTTACGATTTAATATATTGTATTATTATTTATTTATTAATTTGTTATTTCTTACGAATTTGATTAACTGTCGTTATCTTAATTTTACTGAATGTTTTTTTAAGTTATTTACTATTATAAAGCAAGGGCGCAGCCAGGGTAACATTTTAGGGGATGGTCAAGCCTTGCGAGTGAACAATTAGGCTGGGGACAGAAGGCTACCAAGGACTCCCAATGGGGCCTAGGTGCCGATGATTGGCCCCAGAAAATTTCTGTTATTTTATGTAATAAAAGACAGAATTGAGAGGTTTATACGAGGCGTTAATTTCTATAAAACAGACTAACTAAAAAAATAAAAAAGAAATCAGCCTGAACACAATTTGTATACAAGAAAATAATTTGGAACACTGGTAAAAATTCAACATCAAGTTTGTTTTCGGGTAACACCGGACAGAATTTGGGTAACAGAATTAATATTTTCCGATTTGTAAGTGTGTTTTTTTTTTTTCTGGTTAAAATTGTAATGATAATAAATAAACGCATAATGCTATAGTGATGCTATTCAATATGTAGTGCTTTCATGTTGCAAAAAAAAAATCTAAGGTTTAAGAAAAACCTGTTTGAAGTTGACTATTTTACATATCTTAATTTATTGGGTTCAGTTTTAGTGGCACCCATCACTTAGATGGTATACCCAAGAACAATTAAACATATAGCAAAGCAAAAAGAAAGTTTAAAAACAACTTACACTAGGGTGTAAATCTAAAAAAATTGGTAAAAAGCATAAAATTATTAAAGTCAGGCTCTGGAGGAAAAAAATGTTTTTATATGTTTTCTAAGACAGAAAAAAGTTGTTTGACAAAAAACTGGGAAAAGGTGAATGAGATACAGATTTTTTAATATTTAAAAACTGGGGGAAAAAGGGGCGTAATATTTGCATGCCTCTTAAAATTTAAATACTTTCTTCTACTTCCATGTCAAAGCATGGTTTGCAATGGTTATGTCTTGTTCTATGACCAATAGTGTCCTCTGCTGATTAAATCACATTGTTTTTCCATTATTTCCAAGCTTCATTAATATTTAGATAATATAATAGTTTGGTCCTAGGTTGTAAAGTTATTTTTAATAAAAGCAAGGGTCACTCAGTAAATCATATTAAAAGGAGGGTGGCTTACATTTCATATATTTTATTTTTTCACAATACTGCAGCACCACCTGACGCTGGCCGATTTTGAACCAGGGTCAAGAAGCAGCTAACACTGTTATATTCAGGCGAATCCAGAAATGTAAAATAGAGAGGGCCCAGGGAGGTACTTAAACATATGGAGGATGTGTACCACCTCAGCCCCACCATATAGATCGCTAGAAATTGCACTGTCAGACTTAAAATTTGAATATAATTTTCTTTATATCGCCATTTAAAAAAAATTTTAAACAATTTAGGGAGGGCCGGGCGAGATGTTGGCACTTCCTTTTGTCTGCAGTCATTTAGGGGACTCTTATCTTATTCATGGAAAAAAGTAAATGCCTTGAGGCATTATTTGCGGGAGGCATTTCATCCAAATGAGGCTCTGGAGGGGGTGTTTATTTGAAGAGTGGGAGGCGTTTATTCAAAGTAGAGGGTTTATTAAAATTAATATGGTATATTAAGTTTAGTAGAAACTGATTTTCCAGTAGGATGCTTCTCCATTGGGTAGGGCACCAGGAAATCAATATTTTTTTTTTTGTTGGTCTTATTGAAACGTGTATGTCTCTGAGAGAGATGTAGTATATGCTCTGGGCTCAGTAGGCCTGTAAAAATCCCTAGCATAGTTGTCCACATGGGTCATTATGTTATTTATTAACCAAAAAATTGTTATTAATTGCCCTGTAATTTTTATCTTTTTAAAATCAGCTTCAGTGAATTAGAAAGAGAAAATGAGAAATTGGCCCAAGACATCGATGAAATTCAACATGTTCTTGCAGTTCACAAGAATGGAAGTAATACAGCTCAACGTGCAACGTAAGTGATTTCCTCATCATTATCGATTATCGTCATGTTATTGTCATCATTAACAGTACCAACATCACCATCATTGTTATCTTTATCATCATTATAACCAACATTAACATTATATTGTCAGTTATTATCTTTATTTACCTCCCATAAATTATGTGAATAGAGATTATGACAAAATGGAGGTACCTTATTATATTTCATATGTTTAATTTTTTTTTTAGATCATCAATATGGGGTGCTGGAGGAAAAGGACCATTATCTGGGTTCAAATCCAGAAAATCTATTGTAGACAAGAGCAATAAATTGAAAGTAAAAGAAGTAAAAAATTCACCAGAGGCTACTATACCACGTACTAAAAACAGGCAATTTGATGATAGAAGTAAATTGAAAGTTGGCGAAAAACAATCGCAGTTGAAATCTACTGCCGAAAAGCGTGGAGAATGGAAGAGAATGCAATCCAGAAGAGTTTCTTTTAATATTGATGACACTCCTAAGAACGAATTGCATGATGGGATACATGAAGGCACTAACCGTCACTCAGACTCAGTTGATACTACCAACGTGGTGAGAGTATCTGGTGACGATTCTGCAAACGTGGCGAGAGGACCTGGTGATGATCCTGCCCACGTGATGAGCGAATCTTGTCACGAGACAACAGAAGAAAAAATAGCAGCTTTGAAGGTTAAGGTTCTCGCGAAAGCAAGTTCTAAAGTCAAACTCGAAATGAAGAAGAAAAAGGATCCAGATATTTTCAAGAAAGAAAATAAAAGTTCACAACAATTACAAAGTACAAATATTAGCAGATCAAAATCTGCAACAGCAAGAAAGTCCAGAATCAATTTGACATCAAAAACAAGAGAGAAGTCTATAGATAGTGAAATAACAAGTATTTCTTGTGAATCTCCAAATCATGATTTTTCAACATTTACCAAAGACATCGATATACTATATCATGCGACTGAAGCCCCTAAAAGAGGGGACACAGGGTTGGTTGGTGAAAAAAAGGGAAGTGGTTTAATTGGACAATCACATAATACGGATTCAATAAATGAACCAGCTCCAGAAGTGATAGACTGGTTGGAACAGTTTAAAATACAAGATGAAGACTGTTATCAAAATCTGATAGAAGTCATCACAACCAACAACCTCATGCCAGAAAAACTTGATGCCATGAAGGAGAAAGACTGGATTGATCTTGGTTTTAATGATCTCTCATGTGTGTCACATATTTTAAAAGGAATTCACAAGCCACAAGTTAATAATAATCAGGAATTTGAACAGACTTTTACAAAAACTGATCATTTGGAGAAAGTGGAAGATCCAAAAAAAGATATAGACACTGGTAACAACGCTTTAAAATCGGCAAAGATTCGAACTCATTCAGCGACAAATGTGACGAAACAACATAAGGTGACAGATAAGAAGGCTAGACCATCAAGTGCAATAAATATACGCTCTTCAAATCATCAACAAAAGATTAAGAGGGACAATGTTACGGGTTCAGAGAGAGGTAGTTTAAAGTCAACATCAATACATGGAGCTGTTGTCATAGCAACAAAAACAGGTAAATAATTATATTTTTTATTATTTTGTTGTATATTTTATTGTATTGTTATAATATTGATAATTATGTAACTGTAATTATAATTATTTGTTATTTCATTTTCTTCTTTTTAAAAACCACTCCTGTGTTTGATTTAGAGGGTTATCCCAGATATTGTATAATTATTTGTTTTTGTTATGTCATCTATCATTTTATACCATTTCAGGAGTTCCTAAAGTATCCCAAAAATTAAAAGAGAAACAGGAACAAGAACAAGAAATCAAGAAAAAGAAAATGAAGGAAGCATTACAAAGAAAGACAGAAAGAGATAAAATGGCAGCTCAACATCAAAAAAGATTGGTTGAAAAGGAGAAAATGTTGCATGAGATTAAAGAAAATGAGGATGAAAAAGATATCAGTGACTTGACTGAAAGAACAGAGCCTAAAGAGTTGTCTCTAGTAGCCCAAGGTAAATCGTAACTGAATAGTTTTCTCTGTAATAATAATAATCTCAATAATAAGAACTTGTACCACAGAGATATTTCAGAACTATGCTATCTATATATAAAGTTCAGTAATCTATTTGTTTTGTTGAATGCTTTATATTTATTGAATTGTGAAGAATAAGTACCGGCTATTTCAAAGCGGTAGTAGCTAGCATGAGAAAAGTAAATTTTAAAGCATTTTTTTCTTTAAAATTTCTATTTTTTACAGTAGTGGATGCCCCAATAGGCCAAGTTTATATTTTTTTTTAATTTGAATTCATAATTATTAGCAGTTTTTGCTGATTTTCAGGTTTTAATGCAGACTATATATCGTTAATGATAGATAACTTGCATTTTACTAAACATTATTATTATTATTTTTGACTTAAAATATGCATCTGTAGGTATTGCACTACCAGAAAGTTATTCTCAAAGCAGAGATGTGTATTCAGTTGGTGATTGTAGTGAGCCCTCTATTCACAGCGGCGATGTACATGGCAGTGCAAGAAGTGCTAAACATTTAACAGGTGATCAGTTGAAAAAGATAGAGCTACAGGTAAGCTAACTATTCTTGTATAATTCCATTGTTTTATTGTTCAAAAGTCTACATACAGTACTCTTTCGGTACCCCTCCCTTTTTTTCTGAAAACGTACATAAAATATGTTAATTTTGCTAAAACATTTTTCATCACTCACATCTAAATTATTGTACTTGGTTACTTAAATAAAAAAGTATACCGTATTATTTATATCCATGGTTGCATTATTGGTTATAAAAATAATATCTTAAATATGGCATGTTATTTTAAATCAAAAGATTTTTATACATTTGTAAAAATGTACAAATTTCTCTAGCCACTCCCAACTAGCAGATTGTTTTGTACACTTGCGAAAATGTTGATAATTGTGAATGATTCCTAACATAATAATGAAATACATACAAATTTTTATTTCAATTTCAAATGTCCTGAGAATGAAAGTTCAATATTTACAGCAATATCGATATTTGGCCAGAAACAGTAATTCACACAAAACAGTGATGGCTTTACAATTACTTTCAGTGGGTAAAGCTGTTTAACAGGGTCAATTTGCAATTGAGGACAACTGGGTCCCTGGGGTAAAGAAGTGGTGAAAAAATCTTGGGCTTCTTTTAAGCTGTACTTATTTGTAACTTCTTGGTAGAAATAGACAAGTGAGGATAAATTACCTTTGCATATGGTTAAAGCAAATTACACTTTGAGGACTTTGATCATTAAAAAACAAAGTGTTTATTTTGCCGGCTAAGACTCAAATTTGTCTATCCTTCAAGTTTGGGTTGGAGTGCGCCCTCCCTGATCATCACAACAATGCTTTGTAAATAAATAGGCATACTGCCGGCTAAATAAACACTTTCAAAAAAATAATAATCAGCGTAAAGAAAAATCATCAGCATTATTATATACCACCTCCATGTTTTATCTTGTAGGTGATTGGCTTACAAGAAAATCTCAAGATTGGAGACAGCTCTGTGGAAAGCAATATACTTAGGCTCCAGAAACAGCTGTCAGACATACAAAGAGAATTACATGCACAGCCTGTGAAAGAGTCTAGCAAGTCTGAAAAAACATCACCAGGGAAAGTAAAGAAAGAGAAGAAAAGCCCAGACACGTTGCACAGCAGAACTGAACTGATGCGAGAGGTGAGGAAACAGAAAGAGCAACACAGGAAAGAAATCAGGTCAGTAACCCAAATGAATTCTACTCATCATGCTTTACATATGTAAAATGTAACCATCCTGAACTTCCTATACTGTGATTGGTTGTGATCTTGAAGTCATAATAGCAAGTGATATGATCACATGGTGTAGAAAATATTTACTTCTGTGGCATTTGCACATAGGGCGGTAATGCTCAGTCGGCTAAGTTGGAGGTAGCCACTTTGTGTGCATTGAACTGTGACGATCCTTACATAACATTGGTCACCGGATGATTTCTGTTGCTGCTTTCCTTTTGTTTCAGCTAAAGAGCTGGAATGCAAATATAACATAATTGTGAACTGTTTCTTTCAAATCGGTTCTAAACCATTAGTTTTTGTGGGAAAGGACAAACAGTTTAAATATCTATTCAAAAAAAATGGTGCACTAACCTGTGTTTTGCGCAGCGGTGGTTACAGAAATGTGCCGACAAGGGGTCCCACATGTCCGACAGATGGGTCCAAACCAAGAGGCAACAGAGCCTTGGTAGGTTTCAAGGGGAGAGTTTTTATTGCTTAGTATGATCCAAAATGTACTTTTACACCACAATATTAAAGATTGGCAATCAAAATTATGTTATTTTAATAGGAAAATTTTTTTTTTTTCAATTTATTTTTGATCTGACGACCTAGTGTGTTGAACGACAGCAGTGTCCAGGCCTGTCCGACGAGGGAAAATGCCACCACTTTTTTTGCAGCTTCCATGAGATTGCTTAAATTGTTTTGTTTTCATGCTTTTTATTCTTATTTCTTTTCCAGGATGTTAGAGTCTGAGCTTAGTCGGCTCAAACACCGTGATCCAGTGAAGACATGTGAATTATCCGAAGAAGATATAAACTTTAGTGATAAAGGTCAGCACTCAAGCACTTAAAATTGTTTTTATTTATAAATTTATATTTTTTATTATATAAATGAATTCCCTGGCTCTGTATATGTGTAATGATAGCTGGGTTATTGTTGTAAACATGGAAGTGAAATTGTGACTGTTTAATTGAAATTATGTCTATTGTAGTTCACAGGGCTTGCAACAGGCAAATGGAGGCATTATGCTTTTTCTATGTATATGGCGTATACAGTGTACCATTTACAATTGGAACTAGAGGGATTTTATAGGGAAAATTTTCATGGTCGGGGGACACGAAAAATATTTTCTCCAGACTTTTTATTGAAGAATTTCATCAGATTTCTTGATTTTGCTCTTTTGAAAATGAAAAAAGAAAAATTAAATTTATAAAATGGCTCATTGAATAAATTTGAATTTTAGAGCTATACTTATTTCTTTATGAAAATATTTGTTTACAGATATTATAGGAGAAGGAGCATTCTCTCAAGTTTTCCACGGAAAGTTCAATGGGTCAGAGGTCGCCATAAAACGACTGAAGCATTCACTTTCATCGAGTGATAAAAACTATTTCGCTGAAGAGGTACATACAAGCATGCCTCATTGGTAGCTGTCTTTAAGACTATTTTAACTTCAAGTACTATAGAAACTGTGAATTATTATTGTTACAGTATTATTGAGATAGATATAATTATCATTATTATTGTTATTGATTTCATCACCATTGTTAGTATTATTAATATTACCAATTTTACTTTTCGTAAAAACAATAATTTATATATGATAATTACAGCACTGATGTCATTCCTGTTTTAGGTGCACCTTTTACATGGACTGCGTCACCCCCGGATTGTTTTGTTGATAGGAGTGTGTACTACCGGTAAGCTACCTATAATGGTACTGGAGTACATGGCATCTGGAAGTCTGCATCAACACCTGCATGACAGAAGCATGTAAGTCCGTCTAAATGCTGTCAGTGGTTTTTTAACTATAGGTCACTACCCAATTTAGGGTCAAAAGCTGGGATTTATATGTCTGTTACTGTATTCATGTGTATAGTATATATGTGGCAATGGTCTGTACCTTATGAAACCGTCCAGTACACTTTCATATCTGGAGAGCAGCCTGCGCCGCTATTGCTGATCAAGCTATCAACATTGAGGTTGGATTTACTTGCTTCTCGCTGTACATTTCGTTTGTAGACTTGAGCATGGCACTTTACCCATATTGCTTCTCTTTACCCAAGAGTACAGTATAAGCATGGAGGTATTATTGAGAAGGAGATCACTCGGCAACAGATCCCTTTGACGCGACAAGCCTATGTGTTCCCCGCTTTTGGATCGCGCGTGGGCGTATTACCCTATAATTCACATTTTTTCATTATCAACAACTTGGCAACGACATGCATTTATACGCTTCCAGCAGAGCAGTTGTGCAATAAAACGTTTGATTTTAACCCATTAAATATCTTTATAATGAACAATGTTCCCCTGATTAGATTTTTTTGGGCTTTTGGTATGTTATTATTTGTATATTTCAGGAACGGATTCCGTAAAATATTGATGTTAAAATTACTTCTGTGTTCATTATAATTGTGTCTAAAGATTTACTGGTTCGACTATAAAGCTAAGTCAGCGTAAAACTGAAAAATACTCAGATTTTGGATTCATTTTTCGAATAGTTAACCCTCGTTAACCCTAAAATGACTTAGTTTATTATAATCCTTAACCATTTATTAATTAATATCTGTTAAAATTAGAAATGGGCGAATTTTGGCCAATTTATGAAAATTGAAGTTGAAATATACTATACTTTTATAGGTCATGTAAATGTTCCATTAAATTCAAAACTTTTCTTGGTAGAAAATATTAATATGTTTGATATTTTATTTAAAAAAAAGTATCAGCTTCAAAATAGCCATAGTGATTGACAGTATGTAGTGCGCATTGAGAAAAGAAGGTGCTCTCCATTTCATCATGTTCAATTTTTTGGTCAACTAAGCCTGCTGAAAATTTGATGGCGGGGAACACATGGACTTCAAAGGCATCGCGCAAACGTTCTTTACGCGCTGCGGCAACTTTGATCTTGGTTCATTTGCATAGCGCTGCGTGTGCGTAGATTTGCCGAGTGATCTCCTTCTCAATAATACCTCCATGGTATAAGTAACTGGTATTATCCAATACCAAGTGCTTATTCTAGCCGCTTATGAAATGTTGATTCCCTGAAAGGTGAGGATGTGTCCTGTAGGTGTTTAATCTAATGGTATGTGGTAATAATTTAAAGCCTGTAGAGATAGTCTATAGTAATATACACTGTGTAAATGGAGCTGTAATTTTGCTATATGCAGTGTTCCTATTTTTTTAAATGCTCACAAGTCTCAAAAGTACACAGGGAAAGATATGCACTACCATAGTAAACAGGAATTCAGTAAACTGTCTTCTATCTAAAATCAAGAATAGCAGCTGGGATTTTTTATATTTTAAATTATCAACATTTTTACCTTTCATTTTCTTCTAGACCCAGGTTAGACCATGTGTCATACTACCGGATTAGCAAGGATATTGCACTCGGTATGACTTACTTACACCGCCATAAGCCACCGGTTCTTCACCTTGATCTGAAGTCTCTCAACATTCTTCTTAACGCCTATGGACGGGCAAAGATAGCTGATTTTGGCTTCTCAAAACTTAAGTAAGTTATGGGATCTTTCATGTTTTTCATCATTGTTGTGGGAGGTTAGTTTGAAGTATTAATTTAGTGTAATGGCCTCAGATGGTTCAAAATGTTAGTTTGGCAAAGACAAGCCAAATCATTTACTCCTCACCAAAAAAAAAAAAAATCAATTTTTAGTTATTAATACAGGATTAAACTGTAAAATTAAAGTTTAAAAATTGTATAAGAATCATTAAAATCTGACACATCGTCATGAAGTTAAAGGAGTTAAAACATACAGCTGTTTAAAAAACAGTATTTGAGAAATCAGCCTTCTAAGTAAATATAATTTCAGACATATATCAAATCGTTAAGAAAATTTTGTTTTAACGTCGAAAATGGGGGAAAAATAACAGCATGATGTGTAGATATACTAAGGTAAGTTTAATGCAGTAATATAGATTTTAAGAATTTTGACAATGCAACATATTTTGGTCATTATCTCTAATTCAAGATTTGTGAGAAGTGACTTTCTGTACTCTGATGGGGAAGTAATGATGTGGTCGTCTTCCAACCACCAAATACTTTCCTGGGACAAGAACACACAAATTCTAAGGCTCTGTCTACACTATTCAGGTTAATGGGACAAAACCCTGTAATTTGCACATATATGGATGTAATATGACATCATGCCCATATATGGATGTAATATGACATCATGCCCATATATGGATGTAATATGACATCATGCACATATATGGATGTAATATGACATCATGCCCATATATGGATGTAATATGACATCATGCCCATGTGTTGACAAATCATGGTAATTGTCACATGAAACTTTATAGTCTGAATAGAACGTAGTGTTGGAGTTCTTGGTACTAAACTTCATAGTGACATAGAAATCACTGTGTTCATTTTGTCTTGCATTTAGGCATGATGCAGAAGAGTTAAGTGGTCTTCGAGGCACACCTGCATGGATGGCACCAGAGCTTCTTGATCCAGCCTTTGGTGAACTGTCTATAAAGGTCAGTAACGCAACAGTTGAGCCTGATATTAGAGGCCTTCAATAAACATAATCAGCTTTGTTAAAAGTAGCTTCCTGTCTAATAACCAGGCTCATAGATAGTATTAATTTGTTTTAAGTGTCAGAAATTTCATAGAAAAACTCAGAAAAATCTAATATTATAATAAAATTAACAGACTATACTATTATTTTTAGAGGGGTATTTTAACTAAAACTTGAAGTTAGAAGTACCACTCAAGATTTGTTTTTCCATTGAGTGATTCATTATTTAATTTGAATGTTAGAGCTCTGGTTTTTTTTCTTCAGACTTTGTCACTGAGAGTATATCTATTGATTATGAATGCCATGTGGTTTTATTTACTCTAGGCTGATGTGTACAGCTTTGGTGTTATACTTTGGGAGATGCTTACTAGGGAAACACCATATAAAGGAGTCGGTGTATTTCAGGTATTGCATGACATTTTGTACAGGGCAACAGTAATGTGTACCCCAGATATATATTATTGCTATGATAAGCCTCTATACTAACGCTAGGAGGGACCCAAACATTTGTGCCCCTAACATGTACTGTATTATCACTAGTTTAAATCATACTAATGATAAAAGGTACCTAACAGTGTGTGCTCCTAACATACATCATCACTAGGTTTAATCACTGTATTAATCACGGGCTGGGTTGAGCCGCTCAACTAATATTAGTGAATCTAAGGGGTTAATACCATCTCTTCCCTTGCCTCCCAGGAAATCCAGCAACAATAACAAGCATTTAAGCTTTAATATGAGATTGTGATGGACTTTGTTTAACACATCTTTATCTGTGACAGATTCTGGAATGTATACGCAACAGTAAGAGACCAGAAATACCAGAATATTGCCCAGACCCATTGAAGGGTCTGATTAACAGATGCTGGAAACAAAAGCCTAACCAGCGACCCTCATTCAAGGTCAGTGTTTGTTTAAAAATGTGTCTGTCTTGACACAATTAAATGGGATTTCATTTGTATGTTGTACAGTTGGAAATATATTGCAGAGTATGGAGCATGAGGTATATGTCAGTTTGAAACTTGGAATGAAAATTTACTGTGAGAACTAATAGACTTATAATCATCTAAAACATTTATGTATGCAATGACAAAATAAATAATAGCATTTTTAGAAGAATTTAGGCAGATTATATAATAATAATAATAATAATAGTAATAATAATAATAATAATAATGATAATGATGATAATAATAATAATAATAATAATAATAATAATAATAATAACAATAACAACAACAACAACAACAACAACAACAACAACAACAACAACAATAATAATAATAATGATAGTGGATATGCAGAGATTAATAAACCTTCGGTAATCTGAAGCCCCATTCCCGGTTAAACTGCACTAAAAATAATTTTCCAGAAAGAATGCATATGCATTACTTAAATTATGATAAACCATAAATAAATGTTAGTTTTACGCTAAAGGAGAAAAAAAAATTAGAAGTGGAAGCTATATCTTATAGGGAATTACCAATTTCTCGACAACTTCTTCATTACTAGGCAAATTCAGAGGTTAAATCGCATCCACTAAATATAGTCGAACTTAAGAGCACGAGGATATGCCAATAAGTGAACTTATTCACTGTCCTACATGGCATATCCATTTAACAACAGGGGACTCAATGGACCAGTACACCGGGGTAACCCCCTAATCTTCTCGAATGATGTACTGGGTTCTTTAAGTTGCACACAAGCCAAATGCGTACCCTGGGCTTACGGGTCCTTATCCGAGAAGACTTGTTGTACCACCAGAACCATTGGCGAGTGAGCCGTTCAAACCAGCGGCGATATAAGAGCTAAAGGTTACGGTTCCCCTGACTTAACCGCATGGCCAATCAATGGGGCTTTAACTACAAATCAAAATAATAATAGTAATGATAACCATAACCCTGGAGGGGAGGCTTAAAGAGTGCCTTTGCTTGCCCAATCCACAATTCCTAATTGGCAACTCCTAAGACTAACAGAGAGAAGGAACGTCTTACGTTTCCAGTTATCCTGCTCTGCAGCCCTTATGAAATCATGAAATGACAATTTTCTAAATCAGACTTGCACGTTTGAATAAGCTTACATCAGAGAATTCCATTTCCCATTGTTTACTACTACTGTATATTTGTAAAAGAGTATGTTCTATTTTCAGTATGTACTTTTTTATTTTTTGTTCTCAGGAAATTCTGATCTCATTGGAGGGTTTACAAATCCCTTTAGAGTGGCGATCTCTATTGTCATCAGCAGGTATCCCCCATGAAGTAATGGAAGATCCCAATTCAGCAAGATCCATTATAAACTTAATCAACCAATCAGTGGACATCCCAGTGCCACAACTAAATGAACTATCATTGCAGTCACATGATGAGCTGATTAAACAGGATCACTCATTGGCAGATGGACGTGACATAATGGCAGAACCAGCCATTTCAGGAAATCAAACTATGACAACAACTGATAGAGCACCACCCCCTCCACCGTTAGTAAACTTGGCAAGATTCATCGAAGAACAAACAAAAAGAATTAGTGAACCAAGACCTGTCCATCCAGCCCAAGGGGTGTCAAAATGTGTAAAAAGCTCCCAAAATTCAAAGCCATTTGCTGTACCGGCTTCAGAGCTTGCTGATCAGAAACTGATGCTGAAGTCCACAACGCAGGGTCCACACCCGAGCCAACTTAAAAACCTCAGCAACATCACCAAGCAGAAGTTCACATCAATTGCAGAAGTCTTAAGACAGGTACTGAAATATATGTCTTTCAAAAATAATTAATGATTTGCATGAAGATGCAAAATTTATAATATTATAACTAATTCAATTCTTTATTGTCATTGAAATATCCTGCAACTCTGAAGGGTGCCAAGCTGGAGAAAGTCCTTTCTGGGAGATATGCTTAAAAATACAAATGTACTTTTTAAACATGTTTAATTTTATTTTTGCTGCTTATGGTGACTGCTATTAACACTGACTTCCACCAGACAATCGATAATGAAGTAGTAAAAAACATGCAAATATTATGCATTTCCAGGAGATGGGTTATTTTCTGGGAGATTCTTGCTTGTTTGCGAGAGTGCGGGAGGTCGTCCCGATTTCAGGGAGACTTCCGCAACTTGTGGGAGACTTGAGACCCCTTGACTATTTACAATTGGCAACTTGAATTAAATTTTTAAATATAATTAAAATAATAAGAAAAAGAAGGATAAATGTATAGATATATAAAAATATTGATTTATATGTACAGTATATCATTCAATTACAAAAAAGTGTCCAAATTATTTACTATATAGAGGTTGATTGGGATGATGTTAATAATGAAGAAGATGAAATTTGGCTTTGATAAACATTGCAAGAAATAAATTTACTATTGTAATCGTTCAATTTTTTTCTCTTGCAGTCTGTAAATAATCGGAGGTTTGCAATGAAGATGCAGAATGATAGCATTGACCAGTCCACTCTAGATAGCAACTGGTCAGTTTCAAGCACTTAAGTGATCGACTAGACCACCAACTGGAAGTTGATAAAATCCAGAGACAGTTGCAACCAGATTTGTTTCTAGAATAATAGTTTGTCCAGTCCACAACTGGTCAGTTGCAAGCACTTAAGTGACCAACTAGACCACCAACTGGAAGTTGATGAAATTCAGAAACAGTTGCAACCAGATTTGTTTGCTAGAATAATAGTTTGTCCAGTCCACAACTGGTCAGTCAGTGGTGCATAATTGAGTTATCTTTATCACATATTATATTTTGCTGTACAGCACAGAATTTATTATATAATTACGTAAAATGAATCCCCAAAAATATGCTTTTGGAGTTCCTAAATAATTTTAGGATATGTCAGGTGTGGCGCCAGTGGGGGGCACCCCCATGTCAGGTAGTGCTGGCCCCGCCGTCGGGGTGAAAAAGCACAATTCGTCGGGGAGAAAAAAAAATTATATTTATTTTCTACATATTAATAGTCTCTAAAATGGATTTAATAAGCCTTTGAAACCCCTAAATTGTTACAATTTTCAGGGCCTTTGCCCCCTGGACCACTTTCAAAACCTTTTAATCGAAGCTCGACCACGCCCACATTGCTTTCGTCTGGGGAATCTGACCCCTCGTCGAGGGCATCATCCCCTCGTCGCGGACCTTGCCCCCTACCCCCCCCCCCCCCTGTGAGATTGCTCTGACCATCATCAGGAGAATGATAAAAGATGACTTCTGTTGGTCTTAAATAAAGATGGTAATCGTCGATGAATTTTGTAAGACCAGTGGGAACGATGTTGGAGTCCCTGCATCTTTTGGAGAAAGTATGGCCATTGATGAGTTTTGATTGCTTGATATAATTGCGTTCTTAGCTTTTTAAGCCAGACACTCACTGTGGATTCTATGGAGAACACAACGCCACGATGCACGCACAACGGATCCTTTTCAATGACGATCCGTTCAGACTGCCATTAACAATCAGCAGACAGTGTCACGTTGTCAATGCACAATGTAGTGAGTGCCCAGCTTCAACGCTCTTGTGCGGTTGCTCCCCGTAGAGCTCAACAAAATATTTTTTGAAGGTTTGCATGGCGAGTATTATTAACAAAATCATTAAACTTTTGGTAAACCACCTGTAAAATAGAAGTATGGTTTGTGAGGTTAAACCACTGGTTGGTTGTCTCAGTGTTTTGATGGAATGCTCTGACTGTCATCAGAAAAATTTATGTAATCTATGTATTATTATACTTTCTGTTATTTAACCATTAATTGATGTGCTGATATTTATGTTACTTAAATTGTTATTTATCAATATATTTATTCCTAAGATAAAAACTATATTATCAATGACATTAGTGCTATTAAGACTTCTTTCATACATAAAAGTGTGTAACTCACATTTACAAGAGGACGACATTTAGATCAGATAAACATAGGCCCTATGCCATGTGGTTTGTATATCTTCACTTTCAACACTGACATGCCTAGTTGAAGCTACGATATGGCATATTGGTCCAATTGATACTTTCAAAAAATGTGAAACTTTGTTTTCGTTCAACAATTTAAAATATTTTAATGGTTTACTGTGACATTGAGGTACTCAAAATATTGCAGACTCTTTGTACTTATATTGATTTTGTGTGCAATAATTTACTTGATACTTTGACATTCCATAACATCAAGTACTATTTCTGCCGATATAATGGATAATTAGTTAGTAATTGTGAGTTTTGTGATTTAATTCCATTATAAAGTGTTTGTAATCTATAGAGTATGATATATATACTATACTTACATTAAGATTTTTGTGGATTTTATTATACTATTGTGTGTTAATAGACTTGTATATGATATGGATTATTGATTATGAATATCATGCTTTGTGAAAAACTGTTGTGTAGAACTTGGTTGTTTGATGTATTCTTTGTCAGTTGTTCGTCCCATATTTCATGGAGTCAACTAAGAAAGTATAATACATACTCCAAGTATTGAAATGATTGGAGCATTTATTACATACAAATGATGTGTTGAAAAGGGGAATCTATTCATCATAAAAATGCTTAGCATTTTCTCAAATATAGGCCTATGAACGGTAGGCTTACATACCTAGTGATGGCAATTTTGAATTTTGAGGGTTTATGGTTTTGCAATACGTTGGTAAAATTATCACAAAACAAGGAGGTATTTGGAATTTTTTTTTCAGTCTGATGAAGTCTAAGAAAATGTTTGGTTCTGAATATATTGGATGGCAGTTTGGTGCAGCAGTTGCAGTTCGGACTTTCAATCGTAAGGTCGGGGTTTTGAGTCTCCGCTGTGCAGATCAGCTTGTATCCTTAGTCAAGGCACTTTAGCTACATTGCTTCAGTCCACCCAGCTGTATCAATGGATACCAGCAAACTGCTGGGGACTAACCTGCGACGGACTAGTGTCCCGTCCATGGGGAGTACAACTCTCATCCGCTTTACACTACGAAAACTGGGGATAAGCTCCAGCCCATTGAGCCTCTAGTGGCTCTGGAAGGATTTAGTTTTAGTTTTTCTGAATAAATTAGCTTTTGTTCTAAGTCTGATGGCTTCTATATGTAATCACGAAACACTTGGCATAACGAATAGGTAAGGCAATTCTAAGTTTGAACTGCGGATTCAAGGTCAATTGACATAAACCTGTTGTGTGTATGTGTTTGTTTATGTTGACTAACCCTGATACGGGCATGTACAGTTTTCAAATTGTGAATCGCCTTATTTGCTAAGAAAGGATATACTGTAATAAATAACAATGTAGTGACACTCTTTATCAACAAGTTTCATTTATTTTACATAATTCTAAAATGCATTGTAATGCAAAATTGGTATAGAAAACACCACCACAGAAATAATATTTATTAGAAATATATATATACAATTCAATTTCCCAAATGCATAGTAATGTAAACATCACCATAGAAATAATATTTATTAGAATTATAATCATTTATTCAATAAATCACAGATATACAGGTCCCATTATTAATAATAATAATTAATATTAAGTATAATTATTATTTGTTTTGCGCCGGTATCAATCTGGAAAGATGCTCATGACGTATCGACACAACAGTGCATTTCAAAGCCAAAACTAGTACCCAAATCTCGAAATTTAATTTATTGAATTACTGTATTAATTTGAAAAATAAATTACCAGGATCGTCAATTACGGTATTTCAGATTGAGTACTAGCCCCGATAACGAGAACAGCATCACTGTCACCCTGGATGCACACAGGCACTCCGTTCGGCAACATGCTGAGCTCCAGTAGTTTCCACCCTGTTCCCACGGCTCTGCTACCGTGAGCTGCAAAGACTGTGACGCTGCCTCAAAACAGGGAGAGCTATTATGAAACTAGATCATGACAACATTCAATTAAGCTATTTCGCTACAAAACATTTTTTTTTTTTTTTTTAGGTATATACTGAATGGTATTATTCAGACGACCGTTAATTGGCGATTATGATAAAAACGTTGTAATTCTAATGTTATAAAAGCTCAATTGCAGTGTACAGTTAAATACATCTGGAGTAGCTACAACTCTGACGTCATTAGTACTTCTATAGGGGATTCCCCATATTCGCCATGGTTCGGGTATAGAGGGCGTTCTCGTAGAATCTAGGTCGAATCAGAGAGAAATATATGCAATACTACACAATAAAAATAAAATTGCTATAGAACTATAAATTAAGGTTGTAGTAGTAATAAAATTATATGATGAATGTGGTTTAAACAAAATGAACAGAAAACATAATTAAAAATTATGCTCGTCATAAACCAAAGCAACGATACCAGTGCATCTTTGGGTACCGGTATGTTTGTAAATACAGTTATATTTTTAAAAAATGATCCATATATCATAGGCTATTTGCCCTAGAAGTCTAATAAAGGTTTCTGGGTTATTGCAAACCCAGTTCCAAATGGATGATGCAAGATCGTGCAAAAACCATTTCCATCCTCTTCGATGGACATATACTCTTGGGCCTGCTGTAGTGTGTATGATCACAACTTTATTGTATCTTCGCCCTGACACTATTATGTAACATTTTCTAGTGCTGTACAGTACCAGCTCAGTATCTCTGGAAGCTGCAGGGTTTTCAGCTAGAAATACCATAGCAGCGTTTATTAGGCCGACCAGTTCTTCCTCAGTGAAGTCTTCATTGTGCAGGAAGCTCTGCAAATCCCATAATTCAATTTCCTCCAAGCAGTCCATAAAATAGACGTTTGGTGTGATCTGTAGACGATAAAAATCCATGCAAAATACTGTATTTTTAAAAGAGTCATACAGACATTTCGTGAAAAAAAATCCAATATTTTGAAGAAAAAATGAGACCTTTTCCCCATCAGCTTTTCAATTCAAGTCATTACTGAATGAGGTTAAATAAAGAATATTATTGTGTTGGTAACGCCCGACCGACCCAAAATGTACGAAATTGAGGCTAGCCAATTTTATTTTCTTCTTTTTTGACTACAACGAAAAATATAATTTTAATGAGCTAAAATATATACTGCCTATTTTGCTGGACGGTAGGCGATTCAACAATGTTATGCTATCGTTTTCCTCTTCAATATAGATTTTAAAAAGGTCTTTGTAATATTTTTGTGTATTTTCTACTTTTTAGCCATACTCCTAAACACATTATTGGTTACTTCCTACAGACCTACCCATTTTTTGGATTTTCCCAAAACGTGACCAACACAATATTTTTATTTTTTTTTGGCCTAATCTCATGCAAACATAGTTGTGCAATATTGCAATAAACCCAAAATCGAGATGGTAGCAAAAAAAATGAATTTGGCAGAGAAGGAACAAAGTAAAACACTTATTAAAGTGGATATATTTGTTAGGGCTGTACCCTGAAAATTCCTTTTCAGGAGTTACTAGTAAAAAGTGTGAAATTATATTTGTTTATACTCCTATTATTGATTCCTTAAAATTTTCTAGTTCATTTTCTTCAAATTCTTCATCCTATAAATAAAAGGAAATCAAACAGAATTTTGAAACAATTATTGATGCTAATACTAGAAGATCAAACATGACTTTTTCAATCAATCATGATTCATACTTTTAAAATATATTTAACTTTTTTGTATATTTATGGTATACCTATTATTTCGATAAGCACAAACTTAAAATTTACCTAATGTGGTAATTGTTTTAATAAGGAATTATACAAAAACTACAAAGAACTATTGTGTAATAGCCAAGAAAAAAACTTCACCTTCGCGTGGTTTTCACTTGTCTCGTTTTCCCTTCTGCATTTCCCAGAGGCTTCATCCCCACTTTCGTCCTCCACTGTGTTCTCTTCAAAATGAGCACATTTAGTATCCTCCACCTCCGCTTGTTTTTGAGCGCCAACAAAGATGAGGATTAGGAGTAAAACATATGTAAATTGGAACTTCATAATGCTGTAGGAAAATCAATTTAAAATAAAATAAAATGAACACAATCAACCTCATAACATGATGTTTTCTCATGACTAAAAACATCTCCACCCCATCCAATAGGATCAACTATCCTGGTGTGATTCTCCAAACCCTACAAATGAGAAAATATACAATCAATGGCGCCCGCAGAATTTCCACGACGGGAGTCCACGGTCCCCGATGGCTGGGCGGGGGCGATGTCCACAATGAGAATGACAATTTAGGGATTTCAATGACTTATTTAACCGATTCGGAGTCAATTAATATGTACAAAATACATATAATTCTTTCTCTCCCTGACGAATTGTGGTTTTGCTCTAGGCTCCCCCCCCCCCAACGTAGTGCCGCCACTGTATAGAATAATGAAACTATATCGTTAGACCTAGGACCTCAACCCAAAATTTCGGGGATGGCCAAGAGCTACTGTACCTTACCAAACTCTATCCAATGACCTACCAACCCTTCATAAAGCAAACAACAACAAAACATACCCCAGTCAGTTGAAGACAATAAAAAAAAAAAAAAAAAAAAAAAAAAAAAAAAAAACCAACCTGCATGGAAACAATTTTTACAAACAATATATAGAGCAGCCCGAGCGGAGAAGTCGGCAGACTACTTGAAGGAAAGACATTAAAGTAAATTAAATATGTCTTTCATTGGACAATAAAGTTAGAATCTTGAACCTCGAATTTAATTTGGAAATCTTAATCATTTAAAGCATTTTATTTATGTAAATATAAAAAATATCTATTAACCAGGCATAGAAAAAGCAATATAAAATTATTAAATAAAACAGACATTTTAATATTCTTAAAAATGATTTTTTTTTGTAATTGTCATTAGCATGATAATAGAGAAAAATAAATATGGATTTAGAATCGTATAATAACGATACTTTACAATAATGTAGGACCAATTTACTCTGTGTGATGAGTGTTGCATGTATGAATTGTAGATGTACGTGTAATGTTCAGATAGATATGGTGCAGCTTTAATAGGATATTTATGGTTTACGAAAACCAACCGGGTACTGTACAGAGTAATATGGTCTGCCATTACTATAATAAATACCTCCTTGACCGAGTTATGTTTTTGGTGTGTTCAGGTGACTGGGGCATTCGCTACTTTTTAATATTAGTATGGAACGCCAATGGAGTTTTTGCGTAACCATCATAATTATAACGTATTCATTGAAATAACAGTGATAATAAGTATATAGAATAGAGATAACTATCTCTAGGGATACTGTAATTGTATTGAACACTTAAATGGCTTCTTCTTTTTTTTTTATCGGATATTTTTTATGGAGCTTTGTTTGGGGATGCGTTCCCGCACACCCATACGCCAAAAGGCATTTGATGTCCCAAAATGAGCGTGCTTTTGTTGAATTTCCCTGATTTAACAATAAATTAATCTCTGTGCTGGACTCATTTAGAAACCACTACTAGAGCAGAGTAAATGGGCAGCCAGTGGCGTATCTAAAGCCGGCCACTCACTGCGTCGTACGACCGTCGCACGACGAATCCACCTCTGCTTCCAGCGAGTGATAGATGACGTAACGCCGTCTACTGATTGTCAGTCTAAACGGATCCTCATTTTTAAAAAAAGCGATCCGTTGGTTCCGCGCCGTCGCCTGCGTTCGTCGTCGCGTTGCCGTCGCGCGCAGTGAATACCCGGCATAAGAGTCTTAGAATTGGGGGAATGACATTTGGAAGGGAAGGGGTGGCTGATGAGAGTACCGCGAATGTGGAGTGTGGGGATGATATCGAAGTGAGGGGCGCTAGGTCGCAAAATACGGTGATATAAGATGATTGTGAACTACTTGAGAGTATTGTTTGGCTTCGGAAATTTTGAATGTGAGAGGGGGAGACTGGAGAGGAGGAGCTCGCTTTATTATTAGGGGGAATACCTGTCTTTATTTCAATACACTGTGCTCTAGCGGACCAAATTTGGAGCCACAGTGATATAGAATAGGGATACCAGCAGTGGCGCCTTATCTACAGACTTGAAATGGAGGAGCTGATGAGAGGCGTGACGTGGAGTGGGGAGAGGTGCTCCATGATTAAGTAAAGAAAAATAAGGGATATGAGGTGATTTTCAACTGCTGGAGTCTGATTTTTTCGGAAATCGGGGGTGAGGGGTGGCGGTCCTTTATATACGCTTACTGAGCAATACCTTTGATGTCCCGAGTTGATCTTTATCTAGAATTGCCTTGATTGATTTAATACCGATTTGGAGCACAGGGATATAGAGTAGGGACCTGGAGTACAGTGATACAGGATATATATATAGGGATGTCTGTCTATTTTAATACACTGTGCCTTCAGTAGACCCAAATCGGCA